TGTTTCTACGTGCAGCACACACACAGAGCAGCATTAGCATTAGCATCAGCTACTGTTACATAAGCTGGAGTCCTGTTTCCTCCTTGTGCCTGCAATACTGAAGCACGTGAAGCACTGGTGGTTCAGTGGTAGAATTCTCGCCTGCCACGCGGGAGGCCCGGGTTCGATTCCCGGCCAATACACACATAGTTTTAACTGGATCAAACAGCATGTCGTGTTATGACTGATGAACACAAATGACTCCAACAAGAAGCATAAAGTCTATAAAGAGGATCACGAATAAACAAAAGACACAACATATTGACTAATTACCTCAAAGAAAATAACTACGTTTCTACAAATGGTCCCAAAATATCTACAAACTGAAAACAAAAAGACAAAGCTAAAACACGTTCTCCAGACAAATGACACACGATGTCCACTAAAGGTCACAGCAGACATACAGCAACGCTTTCTTCAGGTAAAATGGATGTGACCAAAAAAAAACACCAACAACACAACCAGAGGACGATGATGTGATCCTTCAGCTCCTCTCCTCCTGCATCACAGACTCATTACAGTGTGTTGGATTACAGCTTGTGACCATTGGTAGATGTGTTGTGGTCATTTATTGTGTCTTTGTGGCCTTTTTCTGATCATTTCACCTCATTTTTGAGGTCATGTTGTGTCTTGTTACTTTTAAACTAAAACCTGCCTCCTTCAATGTAGTTCTGACTTGACATTTTTTCCAAATATGGTATTTCCTGCTGCTCATCCAGCATTGGTGGTTCAGTGGTAGAATTCTCGCCTGCCACGCGGGAGGCCCGGGTTCGATTCCCGGCCAATGCACATCTGGTTTTAATTGGATCCATGTAGTGTCTGGATTTACAGCTATACCTCAGCTGCCTCGGACACATTACATTCTGCAGTGTTCTACACAAACGTATACACGGTTCAGTTCCTGGTATGCGCTGCTTCTGAATTCGTTGTAATCTGCACAGTGACAGTAAAGTTGAACCTACTTGAGCAACTCTATTCTGTATATCAGGGCCATAACAGTACATGTTTTTATCCAGAAATGTGTTTAGCTGCACTAGTTGTCGTCTGTCAGCGACAACATGCTAGCAGAGTTAGCATCTTAACTTGCAGACATTTTGTTGCACTGTGGAGCTCCAGATTTTTTTATTTATTTATTGATTGATTTATTTTTTACGAAACATGGTGCTTTATTTTTTGTGAATAGTTAAAAAAGACATACAGAACAAAGTGGTTTAAAATGAAATATAACAAATTTGAGCTCAAATCTGATTTTTTTTCTGGCTGAGACATATATGGGTAGTTCACGGACTGTCAGAAAGTTGATATTCTTGCTGTTTTTACAGTTTCTGGCTGACAAATGGTGTCTTTAGGGGGAAAAAAACAGTACCTTGGTAGTAGAACTGCAGCTGGAAGGCGTAAAGGAAGTCAGAGAAAGACATCAGACAGTCGATGGCGTCGTCCATCAGAACAATCCTACAGGACAAAAAAACAACAAGCAGTTAAAACCAGCAGTGAACTGATTCACACCTGCTCTTAACTGTCTGATTCAGGACAAACTCGTCACAGCAACAAGTTTGAATATTTTTTCTGGCCTTTGTCTTTAATCTTGTCTTCACCTGACCTAATGAAACTTATTACTGAGAGGTAATCTCACCTTGCTGCACTCTGCACCACTTCCACTGGGAAGTCTGGACACAGCAGCTGCAGCAGAGACCGATACTCCAGCATGGACAGTAAATCTGCAACACAACGAGAAACAGAACCCATATCAGCTGCAGAACACAACAGGAAGGCTTTTGTCCGTTTTATGACATTTGTAGACCAGATTTCAAGTCAAGTCAAATTTGTCATTCCAGGTACGCATTAACAGCTACGCAGTGAGAACAAAAAAACTTCAGAGGACGTACTGTGGTGTCAGAGACTAACTGTAGTGTAAATGTTCTTGTTGTCGCAGCTCTCACCTCCGCTCTTCCCGATCTGTCTGTAGCATCTCCAGAAGACTCTGATGAAGGAAGCTCTGTTATGAGGAGTCGCTCTGATGTAGTTAAACTCCCTGAAGAGGACGTGGTTGCTGTTCTTCACGCTGCTGAAACTACAAACACACACGTTACACACTCAGTGCTGCAGTCGTCTGGAAAACATACAGTGTTTGTCAGATCATCCTGCAGAGTAAAGCTGCAGCCAGACTTCTGTTCCCTGATGACAAATTAGGAAAAAGGGAAAAAGATTGAAAACCTTTGTAAACCCTTACTGGAAAATAAAAACGCATGGCATCCACAAAATCAACAAAAACTGGAGACATTATCTCATGATTATGACAGGTTGGGAATTCAGCATTTATTAATCCTGCAGCAGGGAAACCTGAAGAGTTATAGCAACAAAGAGGCAGTGCAAACATGTCTAGACATCAGTAGAAACATAAAAATAAACAAGAAATATACACAAGGCCTGTTGATGTTGCACAGATTTCTCTGGATGTGGAAAACAACAACAAGAAGTAGAAAATATGGAAACTAAAAATACTGATATTGTACAGATCGCTGTATATGTAGAAAAAACAGAAACTGCACAGCCTTTAAATGTATAAAATATTCATGAAGCACAGGTTGTAAAGCATTTATGTTGCACCAGATATGACATTGTGTGAGCAGCGCTGGTTGTAGAATGATTTTAGCATTTCTTCATAATTCTGGGACAGCTGTCAGTCCATTAAATTCAACAGTAAAAACTAAGCTTTTAATAGTTCATTTATCTTTTTTAGTTTTGATAAATGGATACAAATATAACACAGGGCTCATGACACTGCATCCATGACAGCATTAAACCTCTTGTTTCCCTCAGTTCAGTCTTGACATTTTCTACAATACTTAGACACTTGACTTACTGATATTTAGCTTCATATTGAAAAACAAAATATATATATTTTTAATCCTGATTATGTGTTATTACGCCATAATTACGAGGTAACGTATCCTGATTGTTTTAATTCAAGAATTCAACGAGCTTAAGGCATTTGACAACCCTTAAAAACAATTAATGTTTAAACTATTCCTGCTGTTTTTATATATGTGGGTTACATACAGTTAGCCTGCTAGCTGTTAGCCTGGATGTGTACGTACTATTCAGCGAAGTACCGGATCACCCCGAACTGGGTGTACTCCTCTTTATGCTCCAGCAGCTGAGTCACAGCATCACTCAGGTAGAACAACACGTTACTGTCCGCTGGAACACAAACAAACACACAAACAACAAATGAAAACAGACACACTCAGTGTTAGCTAAGGAGCTAGCTGCACGGCTAACACCGCAGGACCTACCGAGGTATTCTTCAGCGGGGACGGAGGGACTGAAGCGGTTCATTGTGCCGGAAAACCGCTGCGATTATCATTAATAAATACTTTATAAATGTGTAATTATCAGTGCATTATAAACTGTACGTACACAGTTTCATCATTTCATGACTGTAGTCTAAATACGCTAAATGGGCTTCCATGGAAACCGTCAGGTGTTGTGAGTTACATTAATTAAAGCCCCTCCAACAACACCCCTCACAAAGGTTCCTCTTTTGTTTTACCCACATATAAATATAGTGTTGTTATTGTTGTTATTAATGTCAATAATAATATAAACAAAAATAACAAAACTATATAATGTAATATTGTTGCTGTTGATCAAAAGTAATATATTATTACATACATTTCATACATTTAAAAAAAACATCAAAATTGTTTAACGCTATTATTGTTATTATTACTATTATTACTGTTATATTAATAATAATAATAATAATAATAATAATGATAATAATAATAACAATAACAGTCATCATCATCATAGTAATCTTCTTCTTCATCTTTGATAAATAACAAAAGATGTAATAATAATATATTATTATTATTATTACTTAGAGTAATAATATTTACAAATAATGATGAAAATGGGAAAGCATTTATTGTCATAAAAAACAATTTATACTCGAGATGTACCACCGCCTGATCATGTATAAAGCAAACAGGTTTGACAGACTACTCTGAAAAAAGTCAGTTCACCCTAAGTGGATGTCAATTATTACATTTTTAAATGTTTAGTATGTTTTTATATGTTGTATGTAAAAGACCAGTGTTAGCATGTTGTTAACATGTTGTTACTGCAGATGAAAAGCTATAGAGACAGCACACAGTTTAACATTTTGTTGTTGGATAATATAATATAATATAATATAATATAATATAATATAATATAATATAATATAATATAATATCAACTGTAATTAAATGGAAAAACCTGCAGCCAGTCAAAACGAGGATATTTAAAGACAACGCTTTAAATAAACCTATAGTTAAAAGACTATGATGGCTAGTGGGCGGGCATTATTTTAGATCAGCCAATCACATTCCTACCTGGAGTGAGCAATACATATCTTTGTCCAATCAGAAACAAAATGTTACACTTTGGGGGCGGGCCATAGTTCAAATCTGACCAATCAACAGCTTCGTCTGGTGACAAACAAGGAAGCCCGTTAGACTGATGGTGAATGAGTGAAATGTGAATGAGAACGATGAGAATTGCGGGTTTTACGGTGTTTGCTGCAGTTTTTCCGTCTGCATTAGATTCTTCAGGCGGTCGGACTGCATGTAAAGCCTCTGATTGTGCTCAGCGGTGATGTATTCAGGGTGGTGCCCCGGTCTCCGCCCCTGCTCCGTCTCTCCGCCCTTGGAGTCATTTCAAAAAGCTGCAACAAGCCGCACACATTTAACAGCGACAAGACCGGAAGTTGATGTATAAAATACAATCTATTTGTTATAAAAACTTGAAGAAAATGATTTATTATGAATTTAATCACCTTAATTTCAATGTAACTACTCACAAGGTACACAGATACTATTATAAATGTTACCACAACAATGAAAAAACTTTACATACATACATGAAAATAAATAAGGATAAAGTAGTTCTGCACTAAAGCCACTGGGAGCAATGGAGGACAAGCATGAACAAGAGATGGAGCTGCTTGGAGTTTGTTCCTACAACTAAACTTTACGTTTTCATTATGTGTCTTCATGCAGGTTTGCATCTGATGTATTTAATGAAGCTATTGCTGTCAATCAGGCCTACTTTGGATTAGACAGGAATAGAGCCGACACACTTAGTTGGCGTAATCTATGACATCAGTGCATGTTTGTAACATTGACATTACAATATTTACAGTATGATCTTTTTCTCTAGAACGTGTGCACAATCAGTATTTTCTAGTCACAGCAGAGTCTACTTACAGAAAAGTCAGTAAAATATAAACAATACTCACTGATATTTCATATTTGTTTATTTATTTATTTTGTTGATATTTTTACACTATCCCATTTGCTGGTAACACAGAAAATTACTGCAAATCTTGCAAATGCTGTTGGATTCATAAAAGCTCATTTTTTCATCTTTCTTTCTCTCTCTTATGATTTTTTATTTATTTATTTAATGTCAATAGGGTTGATAGATAATTGGACTTGCACTCTGGACTTAAAAATAAAAAGTTCTCTTTTTGTTTGTTTTTCTAATGTTGAAATTTAAGAACTAACCCCTAACCCTTACCCTACTTTTGTGGAAAATGAATCGTATTTATCGAGTTCTAGGTAAAAGAAAAACATTTTTTAATACTGGGTAGATTAATCGAATAGCAGCTGCAGCCCTGAAGGTGAGGCTGTGACTTTTATTTTGTAGCGGAAGTTGAGTGTGCTCATCTTTGTGGCAGCTGTATAAAGCTCGGCTGGGCTCCGCTTGGTGATCTCATTATCAGCCTCATCTAACCGGGCTGCCAGCATCGTATTGTCTCCCGGAGACGCAAACAGGTACCCTACCGATTTAAATTTATTTTCTTCGCGCAGCTGGAGCCGGTGTGCGGCCCGGAGCCGGTGTTCCGGCCGGTTGTGTTTGTGCAGCTGTCGCGGTGAACTGCGTTGTTCGGCCTGGCTGTGTTGGCGCGGGTGGAAGGTTAGCAGTTAGCCGTGTTTCAGAGCAGCTAGCGACGGTTACCAAACAATGAGCTGTCGCCGTGAACGTTTAACGCGAAATAATTCGTTTTTAGCACACATGCTAACCAGCTACACGTTCAACCGGAGCTGCTGGTGTTTTTTTTTTTTCTGCTGAGGCGGTTTTAACCAGAACGAGCCGTTGCTAACGTAGCAACGACTGTTGCTAGGTTAGCTAGTTAATGGCGCTCATTTAACTAGTAACAGCTAGTTAAGGTGCTGACCACTCCCAGTCTGCTCCAACTGGGACTGGCAGGTGACAACTAGTTAGACACGGAGTTGGTAGCTTGGGTTGCTAACCTAATGGAGGATGACTGGGTGTGTTGGAGGGTGCAGTCTAGTTGCTGGGTAGCGGAGCATGGAGGCTGCTCGGGTCTAAACTGTGGGTCTGGATTCAGGGATTCTTCAGGGTGTGTTTATTTTCAGAGTTGAAGAATTCAGGCAGGATCGTGGCGGTTTGCTGCTGCCTCCTTCATTCACTTGCTCATAGCTGACATGCTTGTGACACACAGAGTGGGAGCTGCTGGCTGACAGCTGCATCTGTGCTGTCAGTTAATGTACTGAATGGTAAACAATGAATGCTTCTGCTTGTTGGATCATCATATCTTGTGGTGTCCTCCACTCATAGTTTAGCAGGTCTAGTTCATCCTGGTTCTGGTCCACATCATATGTTTATGGCTAACATGTGCTGGAGTGGACCTACAGTAGGTCATCCATCCTCTGTATGTGGGGCAGTTGAGTACATTTGCTATATAAGATGTTATTGAGTCAAAAATAAAGACATACAAGTATTTGTTTTTGCAGGTTTTCATTCTGAAGGCAGAACAATTAATCGGTTTGAAACAGTATAATCAGCATGTTTGGTTGTTAAATCTGAATGTATTCTGGTAGACTGTGTCCTCAGCTCATAGCTTAGTGCACATAAGAACCCAAAGCTTATTAATATTTTCTAAATCAAAGTATCACCTCACTATCTATAACAAACCCAGAGGTGGTCCAGTTTAACCCAGTTCTGGTCCAAATCATGTGTTTTTGGATAACTTGTGCTGGAGTGGACCTACAGTAGGTCATCCATCCTCTGTATGTGGGACAGATGAGTACATTTGCTATGTAAGATATTACTGTGTCAAAAATAAAGAAATAATTGTTTCTGGTGGGTTGCATAGGTCTTCATTCTGAAGGGAGAACAATTAATCGGCCCAGAGGTGGTCCGATTTATCCTGGTTCAGGTGCACATCAGGTTTATTTGGGTAACGTGTCCTGGAGTGGACCAACAGTCCACATCCTCTGTATGTGAGACAGATGAGTAGTTTTGCTATATAGTTTATCAGAAATAAAGAAATATTTGCTATTGGTGAGTGTTGCACAGCTTTCTATTCTAAGTCTAAATCTTGATTGGAAACTATGCAGTTAGCACATCACAACTGCTGCAATCATGGATATACATGAATCAGTAAGCTGTTTTGTTGGTGGTTTAGTACATTCCTGTTGTTCTCCTTGTGTGAAAGTTTTTTGACTGTATTTTATTAGATGATGCTCCATCACATGCATTGAATTGGTTAGACAGTGAACATTCAATTGAAGCAGGACTCACTAATTGTGTCAAAAATAGAGAAATATTTGTTTTTGGTGACTGTTGCATAGTGTTTTTGTTCCTCGGGCAGGACAAATAATCGGTTTTAAATCCAAGTCTTGATGGATCAGATGCAAATCTGCATGAAGAAACAGAATGAAAAAACAAAGTTTAGTTGCATGAACGCGCTCAAGCAGCTCCATGCGCCGTCCTCCTCGAGTGAAAGTCACGCTTTTGATGGTCGCTCATGAGATAATGCTCCATCATGTGTTTGAAATTGGTTACACAGTCAATATTGAATTAACTTGAAGAAATCACAAGTCAAATATTAAAGTGTCAGAACAGTCAAGATTAGTTGTTTTCGTCACATCATTCAGCCCGACTGTTGGCCATCGTACCTGAAGAACAGCTGCGTTTAGACTTTGTTCTCCACTCGTGGTTTAGTGCACATAAGAGACAATAGCTAGTTGTCAGATCAAAATATCACCTCCTGTAAATAATGAACTAGACACGGCCCAGAGGTGGTCCCGTTTGTCCTTGTTTTGGTCCTCATCAGGGCCTGGTTTAGTTTAGGAGTGGACAAACCATGTGTCATCAATCCTCTGGATCTGTGTTGCTATGTAACAAGGCTGATCGATTTAGGAGAAATATTTAATTGTGATTTGACGTCAAGCTTCAGTTCACTAAAAATAATAGATTTAAAACATGTGATGGGACTTGAGCACATGAGAACTCAATAAAAGCATGACTGTCACACAAAGAGGGCAACATGAATTTGTAGAGCTGCTGACAAGACAGTTTAAACTCTGGTCAGACATGCTGCTTAATGTACTAACTGGCAGACTTTGCATTTTGCTAATTGTCACATTTTCAAATTTGATTAATTGTTCAGCCTCACTGTATAAGAAGTTATGTCAAAAATAGTGTGATTTTCTTTGGTGAGTGTTGAACAGCTGTCTGTTCCTGCACATATCCCAGCATGTTGTGCCAGGATGTGTGCAGGAATGTGGGCTGCAGGGTTAATACCTGCCGTTTCGCTTTACCAGAACTGAAAGCTGGAGAAGGACAATTTCTTAAACTGAAAGGTGTTTAATTGTAGAGCAGCTGCTCGCTGACTGACTCGTGAAAGGAGACACGATCAAGTCATGATCTGTTTATGCACCTGCCTGATGAATAACCAAGGTCAAGTTAAATTAGCACGTTTTTAAATGGAGTTCGGTGCTGCACAGTATTGGGATAAACTGACAAAGCAGCGGTTTTGTTTTTCCTGTGAGATATATATCGCAAAATGAAAGAATACAGATGACTTTAAAAACTGTATTTGGAAAGAATCGATTATTTTAGAAGTATGGGGGTGCATTTTGTGTAGAAGTGCATCCGACATGGTTTGGATGACGTTCAGATGTGGCTTTGCGTCTGTCATGCAGAGCTTTGTGCTGATTTAAATGGGCAAACAAATTAGTTGTGTTTCCTCGTGCTGTTTTTGTCCGACATCATCCTAACTGTGGCTGAACTGTTTCCATACGAGTGATGTTTGTTTCTTTTTGCAACCAAATCTTCCTTTATAGTGTTTAGTTTCTTCTCCTCGCTCATTTTGTTGTGCACACATGAACCTGTACATTAATAGTCTGAATTTTAAATGCAGTTTTAAAAAAATATATAAGTGTACCTAAGAACATTTAAATCAGAGTAATGTTCTGTCAGACTTGTCTTGTAAATCAGTCGTGGAAAATGACAACTCTGCAAGTTTTCACACAAGTTCTAACATGATGAGTTGGCGTTAATTTGCCTACGTGTGATGTGATTCTTATGCATGCACACCTAATATCAGTTCTAGTCCACATCAGCATTTATTTTGGATTTATTTGGTTAACCTGCACTCGAGTGTACAAACAATTGGTCATCGATCCTTTTGTATGAGGGACAAATGAGTGATTTTGGTTTATGAAAATAGTGAAATCTTTCTTTATAATAAATGCGTTACACAGCTTTTTGTTCCTGCACATCCCAGCATGTTGATCTGTGTAGGAATGTGGGCCGCGGGACGAAACGCCGCTTTAGCCTTCAGAGCCCGACAGACGCACTACTTCACGTCCAAATTGGCGTCCATTATTCCCTTTGAATTACTCCAGACGTATTTACTGCAGCGAGGTGTAGCGCATATTAAACGAACAGCTTGACCTTTCCAACAATGTCGTTTCTTTTCGTCCTTGTCTGTGCACCGAAGTGCTACTGAGGGGCAAAAAGTTGAAAGTAAAGTTTGAATTTACATCTAATTAAATCAGAGTTACACCCATTATTATCGTTTGAATCGCTTATGAACTTGCATTGTAGAAATGTTAATATCATTTGTTTGCAAAGATTTTGCTGGTTTGCAGCAGGCTACTGTACATGAACACCACAATAGCAAGTTATTTGTAATATTTTATGTACAATTCTGCACAATGTGTGTCCTACAATTTGAGTACTATGACCCATTATGCCATATCTGTACATGTAAAAGATCTACATTATTATCTCATTTTTTAAAAATCTTTGTCCGACTTTTGTATTTCTTGTCTTGATATTTACTGTGCTTCATTTTTATCTAACCGCCGTAACGTGAGGATCAATGGAGTTTATCGGATTTTAATTTTAACAGGCAATTATCACATATTTACCCACATTTGTAAGTCAAAAGTACCATCACGGTTCTGATATTTCCAGACAAGCTGCGCTAATTTGTCTCGACTGCTTGCATTTTATAGTGAGATGCGTGCTAAAACATAAATATTTCATAATACTAAATATGTTTTTCCTCCTTCATGTGAAGGCTAATACCAAAAAGTGTGTGAGTATTATCACACTAGATGATGTAAGATCTGGAAAGCAGAGACTCATCTGGGGGGGGTAATAAAAAGGCAAGATACGGCATGTATGATAAGCGCTTAAAAGTAAAAGTAGTGCAGCTACACTAGAAATAGCCCAGGGCTCAAAGGGTTAAGTAGGAGTCCACCAGTTTGTTGTTACTGGGAGTCTAAGCTGGAGAAGAAGCATTTTTTTAAACCTCTTATAATTGCTCTTCTGCTTGTTTGTTTAGCTTCTCGATTCTTTAAAGGTCTCGTACCTTAAAAATGACTAAGGTCACATTAAATTGGCACATTTCCATTAGAGTTTGGTGTCTTCTTCATCCAGGGGCCTGTTGTGATGTTTGTCTCATATGGTTAAGGCTACTTTTTCAGCTCAGTGTGCCCATAATCTGTCCAAAAAGCTAAATTTTCTCAGTCTGCTTTGTTTATATGTAAGATTGTCCTTAAGCTGACGGCATCCTGCAGCCTGTTTACTAGACTGGACTGGATCAATGCGAAATATGAACCGGTAGCCCCTCCCTGAATGTGCATTAGACAATCACATGCTTATGCTTTCAAGTGCAGCTGAGTGCATGTGAGTGAGTAGACCAAGAAATGAGTCTTTTTTTTTTATTGACAAAAACTGAGAGTGCATCTTTGCTGAAGGGCTCTTACAGGAGCAGCTCAACCAGAATCTCTTCACTAAGAAGACAGTGTGCAGCTAAGAGGCCGGTCCGCCATTCAAACGCTGCGTTACGCTTCAACTGTGAGGACGTCGGTGGTTCTAAAACGTTAGTTATGTCATTTTTTTTTTTAACCCTGAAAAAACTGGGTTAGGAAGTACAGTGTGCTGGTTTATTGTCTTACTTGTTCGTCTTCATGTCTAACAGGTCTGTCAATACTGATTTATAAGCGTTTCTAGCAGAAATCACTTTATTACTCTACAAACTTGTGTTTCTGTTCCACATAAATACCAAAACTGGTAAACATAGTCTGTTGCATTAGACATTTTTAATATATTTCACCAGGACTAACTGTGGTATCACATTGAATGACAGAAAAATGTTGAGGTTTATTTTAAACTTTTAATGTGCATTTGTCTCCTTCTGGAAATGATGTTAAGAAATTTATGTTGGAAACAAAAAGTGTGCATGTCCTCTGGTTGGAACATAGTTTATAGTTTTATTCAGCTTGACTTACAATAAGATGATATTATGGCGATTCCCAAGGAAGGTATTTAAAGTCAACACATCTAAGTAGGAGCCTGAGTGGATTTATGAGGCTGACACTGATGCTTAGAGGTTAAAATATTCAAAATTGTGACCAAATTTGACCACATTTTACTCTTGAAAATACCTCTAACCTAATATAATTCCTTATTCCTTACCAGCAGACATACCTGCTTCTGTATAAATGAGAGCAGAGCTGGTCATTGCATCATGGGAAGTTCCCCATCAGCATAATTAAGGGATGGTTCAGGGTCAGCTGAGCAGCACTAACCATTAACTTCAATCAAAAAGTTAAATTTGAAGCCTGATTTTAAAAGTAGAGACGGTGTCTGCCTCCTGAAACCAAACTGGGAGCTGATTCCACAGCAGAGGAGCCTGATGGGTGAAGAATCTGTCTCTCAATCTGCTTTCTGAAACTCAGGAACCACAAGTCAGCCTGTAGTCTGAGAGCAAAGTGCTCTGTTGAGATGATCTGGTGCTATGAGGCACAATGGAGAAGTTAATATGGGAGAAATATGATCCGTCTTGCTGGCTCCTGTCAGAACTCTTACGGCTGCATTTTGGATCAGCTGGAGGATTTCCAGAGAGTTATAAGGGCATTATAGAGGATAATGAGGAATCACAGTAGTCGAACCGAGATGCTGCACATGGATTGGGTAGTTTTTCTGTGTCACTCTAAGAAAAGATGGTCGTAATTTTAACAGTGATCTGCAGAGACTTGCTTTATGTCTGAGTTACAGGAAACACCTGGTCACAAACTCCAAGATAACTCCAATTTTATGAAATAGTTCTGAACCCATTGTTCCTGTTTGGTGCTGATGATGCTACTTTTTCAGCATCGTCATGAAGCAGGATGTTCCTGAGATGCATTTTCAGTTTCACGGCCTCTGCACCATAGTCAGAAATGATTGTAAAGTTAAGGCCAGTTCATAGCCTTTGCATCCCTGTGCACTGACCAATGTGGACTTTGAACACGTACAGAAAATGTGATTATATTCATACTAGAGTTGATCGCATTGCTTCGTATATCGAACACAGAAAACCACGTAAATGTTTCTAAGAGGCAGTGACTTTGCTTTGTTTCTAGGATACAGCAACTGTGTCAGTCTGTTTTATTTTTCTTGAGGTGTTTTGAACGCAGTGGGCAGACGTAGCACAGGATATCTGGAGAATTTAGAATTTCCCACCAGGAGTGCAACAGACAAAAATCATGGTCTGGCATGCATCTCGATTTTGTTGTCACAGTTCGTCTTTTGTGCATCAAAATAAGGAATACAGATCACTAAAACAACTGGTTTGCTGAATGGCTTTGGATTTGGCTGTCTTTCTTTAAAGAATAGAAATAAATGTGTTATTCCTGCTGCAACTCACTGCAACCTACTAAGAAAGAAGTAAAAAGTAAATTGAAATAAATATTCTCTCAAATACATTAAAAAATCTGATGTGCTTGCAGTCCGCACAGACTTCAGTAGCTGACGAAATTTATGTCATGTACGTTTGCGTTCCCTGTGAAGCATGAATCGGCCTTTATGCAGATGTTATAAAGTGAAACGTTGATCTCCAGCTGCTCACAAGTGTCCTCAATTTGCCTCAGATGGTCAGAAAATTGCTTTAAATGCAGCTATGTACGTGTTTCTTCCTCGGGTTGTGTAGTAATATCCATTGAACTGAGTTTCTCTGTTGTGGGATCAATAAAGTTGATCTTATCTGAAACAAACGAAGCCAAACTTGTTACTTTAATTGCAGCCGCACAAGAATTTTGCTCACAGATGTACTGCCTACGTCTATTTCGGCTTTATTTTTGTCACAATTCAAATTTATTGCATTCTCTTCGACTCGTATGTTCAGCTTTTCCCTGAAGTCACCAGAAACACTTGATCATGATAGAAAAGTAAAAGCATCTGCATGTGTTTACAGCAGAATAGCATGTTGTGTGGGTGATGACGTGTGTAAAGTTGCAGCTCTTGCAGTTTGGACCAGTTTTGTGCGTTTGTTTATGTCACCAGAAGTTGTAATTATTTGCTCCTGTGCAGTGCAGGTGCTGCTGAATCTCTCCAGCTGAGGCCTTCTGCTGAACAGACACTTTTTCTAATGAAGCGTTGAAGCAGAGCCGCTCCGACTGCAGGTCTTCAGCAGAAAACGAACGCACCGAAATGTTAACTTCTGTGTGTTGATGTTGTTGTTTTCCAGCTGAGTACCTTTGGGGAAGCCCAGCCCCCGACCGGCCGCCATGGGGGACGATAGCGAGTGGATGAAGCTTCCCATCGACCAGAAATGTGAACACAAGGTGAGCCACTCGCTGACTAGTGTTGGTGCTTTTTAAAGGTTCCTACCTATCTGCTATTTTATTACACATTGTTTTAAATTTTATAATAGCTCAACAAAAGTATGCGTCCCTCCTGCAATAAGCTTCACTTTTCTGTTTAAAAACATATGATTAAGTTATTTAACTAACTTTTGCAAGGCAAAAACTCTTGTATTGGATCTTTAATCTCGTAGTGCAGCACAGAACATGGATCTGTTTACTTAAGCCGATCAAATATGAACATGCGCCTCGTGGTAAAAATGAACCCCACCCTCAGATACATGACTATATATATATATATATATATATATATATGTATATATATATATATTCTGATTACTTCAAGTGTCTCAGAAGCATTAAATTTACGTGTGAATGCACATTAATGCTGAACAGTTGACATAGCAATATTTTAATGCTTAATTTCATTATTTAACGACTTTGCTTTCACAGCAAAACAAGCTTTTGTTTGTAATTATTCAGAGAGATGGATTTTCTGGCTCATACTGGCTTTTTCTGATCACCTGTCTGTGTTTTAATGCAGATGAATTAATCACACAGTCGCTCTCGTTTACGTTTATAAATATAAATGTGCAAACTGGTGTGAAATAATAACGGGCTACTGTGTTAAACTTTCATTTCCAAGGTCGGGGTTTGTCGTGACTCACAATGAGTGTAGTGAAGTTAATGAGTGTGTTACCCTTTGTTTTGTTTTAATTTATTTCTTTTAGCAGAAATCTTTGCATTTTGGATGATCTGACAGATGAAAATATCTATGACGCTTTAAGTAAATTCATTAATTTGCACATCCCTGCAGACTGGAAATATTTTCATAGCATTTTATTACTTCTATAGTCCCTTTAATTTACTGTCTTGCTCCTTATTTGACTTGCTTTTAAAAAATTCTTTCATTCTTCTTTAAAGATGTTCTAAAAGTTCATGCTCACTGTTAAACACAAATTCCTCGTGTGAGAAAACCTACTGAGCAATACAGCTGATTCTAAATACATCCTAATGAGCAAAACTGTCTGAAAAACTGAATTTTTATTCCAGTTGTGATCATTTCCTCACTGGATAAAACCTCTTTGAGTTCTTCTATGCAGGAAAAAGCCTGAAGGCGTCGAGCTGCAGAGATCGTTATTTTATTATCCTGCAGCTTTTGAAATGAGGAGCTGTCGTGTTCAAGCACAACAAGCTGTCGATGTGTTTCGGGATACTGTGAAAGATGTTGGCAAAACAGCTGAGCTATATTCTAAAAGCAGACAGACGCTAAAATACCACAGACCGACTGAGCCGCACCCTGTGGACACGAGGGATTAAACCAGTACATACAGTTTCCGCCTGATTAGCTTCTTCCAAACTTGCTTACCCTGTTTGTTTGGGTCCTTATCCCCACAAGGCTTAAAGTTTGGGATTAAACTGATAAAGTCTTAGCAGGACCCTGTAATCCATGACATCAGTCTTAATAATAATGTCAGCATAACAGTGTAGCAGCGTAGTTCGTCGGTCAATTCTGGTGTTTGGTTTTGCGTCAAGTTGGCTTCTAACGCGCGCTCGCTGCGCAGGAGATGCAGGAAAATGGAGATGATGCACAAAAATATGCTCGAGGAGGCGTTTACAGACAAGTAGTGTGAATATATACGCTGCTGCATCATGTACTGAGCACCAACAAGCAGCTCGCTGGCCTGTTTGGAGGACTAAATTGGTGAAAATTGGAGTTTATTTCCGTCAAAATGTGTGTGAAATGGACTGCTGCTTATTCTAAAACACCTTTATTTAACGACGCAGCTCTGAACTGCTTTGATATTGTCCTGTGTGGAGATGTCACCATTTAAATTCTGCAATTTTCAACACTGAATGATTTGCTTGAATGTTTTTTTTCGCATGAACTATTATTATAAAAGCTGCTGCATACACATTATGATCAGACAAACCAGGATTTCTTCTCTATGGAGGAGTTTTCTGTGCTTGTTAAAGAGGTTTTTGCTTTCAACAAAGGAACTTCTCCACAATTTGAGGGTGGAGTTGCCCTTTACAGATTGAGCCTGTTGATATTCTGTCTTGCTTATTGTCTAATTATGCCACATAAAGACCCAACCCAACAGTGAAATGCTTCTAACAGGGATTGTCTGTGAGCTATTCTTCTGAGCTCTGTTGTTGTTCTGAATATGTATAGACTCTATTATACTGGTAGAAGTGTCCTTTCATTACCGTGGACACCCTCTGTGGTTTATTTTGATTCATACTGTTCTCAGAAATGTGCTTTTTCCACATATTTCAAGATTTATGCACATTTTTTTTGGGTGCAATCACACAAGAAACTACAAAAAACAAATCTTGAGACTTATTTAGTTTTAACCAATAACCCTGGCCTTCATTAAGGTTGTTATTAGAGCTGAAACAAATGAATTAATTACTTATTGAACTGGAAAATTACTTGGCAGCTATTTGTTTGGAGTATAAACATGACATATGCAGTGTTTTAGAATGTTTTTGCTCTTCGGTGTAGCTTTAAAGTTTTAAATTAATGCCCAAAATTAGTTTCAGTGCATGAAATCACACTCTAGTTAACCAGGACGCCACATTTCAGGTTTAAAAATAATTACTGGCAAATTTTAAAGAAGTAATTCCTCCCAGCAGGTATTGTTTTTTCTCCTTCCTGAGTTTAGCCGAGTTAATTTTAGTCCGTGCTGCCGGATCATTGTTGAACCAGAATAACAAGCTCACTGACCAAAGGCTGAACTCAATTTCCTGCCTCGCTGCTGATTTGCAGACTTTTTTTTTTGTCTCTCAATCAAAGCGTTTTTTGTTTTTTTTTCTGCAGCCCATCAAACCACAACTTAAACTCGGTCTTATTAACACTGGCTTTGAAGTGTTTGACGGGGGCGGGAATGTCGCGGCGGATCTTTGCAGTCCAGCTTCCTTACGCTCTTTTAATGAGCCCGCAAGGACAAATCGCTTATCACACAGATGTCTGGCTTTTGTGAATGTGGGTCACATCCACTGTCTGTCATCCAGACCTACATCTTCCCACAGCAGCTGAAAGGACGGCACGTTTGTTAGTCCGTGTAGTTTTGCTTTTTTTCTTAACCGAACTTCCTTCTGTGTCTCCTTTAAGGTGTGGAAAGCCCGACTAAACGGTTATGAAGAAGCTCTGAAGCTGTTCCAGAGGATAGAAGACGAGAAGAGCCCGGAGTGGGGGAAGTTCCTGGGCCTCATCAAGAAGTTTGTCACAGAATCTAACGCCGTTGCTCAGCTGAAGGGCCTGGAGGCTGCGCTGGCCTTCGTTGAGAACGCACATGTGGCCGGAAAGTAAGTAGCGTTAGCTCGCGGCGGAGACATAGAGAGGCCGGATTCAGAGGCTCGGTTGTTCTGACGGACTGCGCTTTTCTACAGGACGGCCGGCGAGGTGGTGTCCGGGGTGGTGACCAAAGTGTTCAACCAGCCCAAGGCCCGGGCCAAAGAGCTCGGCGCCGACATCTGCCTCATGTACATCGAGAACGAGAAGGCCGAGGTGGTTCAGGACGAGCTGCTCAAAGGACTCGACAACAAGAACCCCAAGATAGTGGTGGCCTGCATCGAGACGCTCCGCAGGGGTCTCAGGTCGGTGCTGCTGCTGCTGCTGCTGCACTCACTAGAAACTGACTCCTTTACGTTATTGCACAGCTGTTTAAATCAGATTATTTATCATTTGTGCATCACATCATTGACTGCTCAACCACATTCCTGCACACTGTCAATATTTGGATTATTTTCTGTTAATTGTATAATTCCTCGGATCGTTACACTCCGTTGTTTCGACGAGCAACTCTTGCTTTTTTTGTTTTTTTTAATTGTCTATATGTTAGTGTTTACTTTTATGCACCAAAACACTAAGTCAGATTCCTCTTATGTTCAAAAACCTACTTGGCAATAAAACTGATTCTTATTTTAAAGACGACTGGGATTAACTAAACTGTGGTTCATGTTTTGCAGGTTGTGCTATGCAAAGAACAACATTTTCTATGTTTAATAGTCTTTTATTACAATGTTATTAATGACCAAAAATCTTAAATTTAACCTCTGTGAACCTGCAGAAGCCCCCAATTTTTCAGCATAGCTTCTGCCGTTTGATTATGTGTGCTGCTATAATGCCACATGATAAAAACAGAGCTGTAGTTAAACCAAGAAAATCTCACTGGACTGAAATGGTACCTAATATCCAACCAATTAATTGGTCGCTGGTAAAAGAAGTTCAGCAGCTAATCTGTAGAGGAACTCAGAGCCCTCTACCTGCAGCACTGTTAGCCTAAATAATTCTAAACCAACATAACAAAAAGCTTGTATTTGCAGCTTAATAAATCAGTTTAACTGGGTTATTTTAGTTTGTAGTGATAACAGCAGACTTGATATTTAACTTCTTTCTTTTAATCTGTGTCCCCTATTTGTTTTGTGTAAACACGACCTGCAGTTCATCCAAAAAAAAAAATCCCAGAGTTTTGGTCACATGACTGTTGGTCATGGCTTCTTGGTTGCAGCGAAACCTGCAGAACTTTTAGTTTTTTTACAGAATCTGTTTAGAGGAAACGCTTCTTTTGGCACAGCGAGATGATCCATCACAATTTTAATTTCATATTTTGTTAATTTATCAGACATCACACATGATTGGTCAGAAAGGTGAAAATCCAATGATTTTGTCTGTCTTTAACTTTCTGACTGACAATAGTGTCAATTTTGCTATTTTAGATTATTTTTTGAAAAATAACCTGCTGAAAAGCTAGCGATTATCTTTAAATGGCAGCAGTGACCTTGTAGAGAAATACTGATGGAACTACTTGACCTCCTCCTCAAACAGCAAATGTTTAATATCAGTTCTGACCCACAAGCTTCATACTGATTCTTGTGGTTTCTTACTGGTTCCGCCTGTTGGTCTGCCTCCCGTCAGTGAAACTAACCAGCTGTCACCTCTCCGTCTCCCCACAGTGAGTTTGGATCTAAAATAGTGACGTTGAAGCCAGTCGTGAAGATTTTACCCAAACAGTTTGAGTCCAGAGAGAAAGCGGTGAGAGACGAAGCCAAGCTGCTCGCTGTAGAAATCTACAAATGGATCAGAGACGCTCTGAGACCGTCGCTGCAGAACATTAACTCTGTACAGGTTCGTCATCGTCGCACAAACCTTTAGCTCTCGGCTCCAGAGTCCAGTCAGACTAAACCTGTTTGTTCCCTGCAGCTGAAGGAGCTGGAGGAGGAGTGGGTGAAGCTGCCTTCATCTCCTCCCAAACAGAGCCGCTTCCTGCGATCGCAGCAGGACCTGAAGGCAAAGTTTGAGCAGCAACAAGCCCAAGGAGGAGACCAGTCTGATGGTGGGTTTTACTGGACGACAATCGGCTTTTTTATTTGACATTGAGGAACTGCAGAGTGACTTCTCTCCGTTCCTCCTGCAGGAGACGAGGAGGAGGAAACGGCGACGGCAGTCGATCCGTACGAGCTGCTGGAAGCTGTGGAGATTCTGTCCAAGATGCCCAAAGACTTCTATGAGAAAATTGTATGTTTATCCCTCAAACATCAAGACCGTCTGCGTTAAGTGGTCAGATCTGACCTCGGCAGCCTCTGAGAGTCTGAATGAAGATTATGAATGACTCATGCCCCAATTGGACGGGATTAGTGTTAGACATGCGGGAGAGGAGTACAAATATTCCCTGTAGTGTCTGGCAAGCTCAGCCTTTGATGGTAAAAATTACAGGACACCAAGAGAAAACAAACATTAAATCTGCTTTTAAATTCCAGAGAAAAACACTGAAAATCTTCACATTTTTAGGTTTTCTTCAGTTTCGTAGCAACCCAGCCAGTGATGGTCATCTGTACGTTCAGGGCTTCACCACAAACTGGAGCTGTTAATACAACATTCTGCTGCTTTTAATGTGACTCAACATAAACAAATCCAGGATTAAAAACATGATGCTAGCAGCAGCTTATTAATGAGATTACAGGCTGCAGCTCTGTTGCTGTTGATTCAAACATGCCTGTGTTCGTGTTTCCATCACACAAAATAGTTAAAACTCACCTCAAAATACAAGAATGTAACTGCAGACAGGGTTTAAAATAAAGAGGGAGCAGCAGAGATTGTTTTAACTGTGATTGTTTCTGGGGAAAGTTTGAGAAACTACTGGAAAATGAAGTGTACTGTGTAGAAATTTGTGTTGTTACTGTGTTTCTGCAGGAAGCTAAAAAGTGGCAGGAAAGAAAGGAAGCTCTGGAGGCCATCGAGACCTTGAGCAAGAACCCCAAACTGGAGAACGGAGACTACGGCGACCTCGTCAGAGCCCTGAAGAAGGTAAATACACATCTCGGTGAAAAGCTTACAGAAATAAATAAAAGTTTGGTCCTGAGGTGAGCGGGCTCTCCTGACTCTGCTGTGGTTCTGTGTTGCAGGTCGTAGGTAAAGATGCCAACGTGATGCTGGTGTCGATGGCGGCTAAATGTCTGGCTGGACTGGCTGCTGGTCTCAGGAAGAAGTTTGGAACTTATGCAGGACAAGTAAGTTAAAGGAGTCTCTTTTTATAAGGGTTATTCCTTCTTAAATCATCAAGAAACTTCCGCTTGACCATCTCTGATTGAAACATTTCCTCATAATCTATGGATATTTTAAACGCTGTCTGTGAAATCTTAGCTTCACGTATAAATACTTTTTTGGGATAAAACCCTTAAAAACTGCCGGTTGGCCAACTTTGTTTGCACATGTTTGAAAAATGTCATCTCAGGAGCTATTAAAGACAAAAACATGAAATTTTTACTGTCATTTCTCATCATGTCATTAATTTAAAATCTGTAATATTGAACAAGTAGATAAAAAAATCTCTGAAAGCGAAGTCGTCATGAAAAGTCCCATCTTTGATCACAATTAACAAAATAATTAATAACTAGCGATGGAGCCTAAAATTTGATGTCAAAGTACATCTATCAAGCTAAAGTTCCAAGGATATCTTTTTATACATATCAATAGTTTCTGGTAAAAAAAATAAGAATAAAAATCTGGAAAATCAGACATGGTTTAGCAGAAATTTGATGATTTGAAGTTTTGAAGCAAGAAGAAGAATAAGAGTCTTGAAACATTTGTGCTGCCACATAAACAATGGGTGTAAGTTCCATCAGGTACATTGTCAAATTGTGGTTCTCTGATTAGTTTTATGGTGACAACAGACATTTTTACATTTTTTTATTTTTTTTTAATGTATGAATGGTCTTTGTCCTGATATTAAGAACATTACACCTTCATTTGTTTTATTTTCTTATATTAAAATTGGACCAAAATCCAAAAACTTTCCCAAACACATCTTCTCCAGTCAGAATGCTGGAGATGTGAACTAATCATGAAGTGGTCAGTCAGTGCTAGCTACGACAACACGGTTCTAACCAGAGCTCGCTGTGTTCTAGGTGGTTCCAACTATTCTGGAGAAGTTCAAGGAGAAGAAGCCTCAGGTGGTCCAGGCTCTGCAGGAGGCCATAGACGCCATCTTCCTCACTGTGAGTACAGACAGGCTTGGGTTAAATATTAAAGTCATGAGCAGCTGTTGTCGAATCATCCAAAGAAATGTGGAAAAATAAAAAGAAAAAAAACAAGTGATTGTGATGAAAACAAGGCCTTGGAGGGTGTGTGTTGAGGCTGTAAGATGCACTTTCCACTGCAGCTTGTCCTCTGGGTTGCATCTGTGCTTCCAGTTTGTTGGCCTAACTTGATAACTGCTGTTCTTTATGGAGCACTCCACCGACTCCGCAGCTTCTAATGTGTTTCAGACCACATCCTGATTTAAGCCGGGCAGATTGATGGACTGATATTCCTTTCTGCGCAGTATCCGATGTCACGTTTAATGTCCGTTTTCTTCCCAGACGACTCTCCAGAACCTGTCGGAGGACATCCTGGCGGTGATGGACAACAAGAACCCGTCCATTAAGCAGCAGGCCTCCCTGTTTCTGGCTCGCTCCTTCAGACACTGCACTCAGGCCACGCTGCCCAAGAGCGTCCTCAAGCCTTTCTGCGCCGCTCTCATCAAGGTGGGTCGCCGGCAGAGCTGCAGCGAGTAAATCGGTCACCTGCAGTTTGTTAAAAAGCGTCCCATCTAAGTTCTTCTGAGTGGAAACCAGCAGGGAGACCACAAGACTAGTGATGAAACCCACTGCATGAGCAGTACGATCATCTCTGAATTTATCAGCTGTAGTTTCACCAACATTCTCCAAACTTTTAGCAACAAATTCAATATAGAGATAAAGTGTGTTACAAAAACACGATGCATGTGAACTGAAAACGTTTGTCTGCCCGTTTCTTTGTAGAGATGTTTAGTCAGTGACTGTGGTCCTCTAAACAGCCCTCTTTAGGTTAAAAAAGTCATGTTAAACTGTCTGAAAGGGTACAAAACATTCTCATTTTTAGTGTTTGTTTTACAAGTAAAGCTGCAACGATTAGTCCACGAGCTGTCAACCGTTAAATTGTGAACTATTTTAATAGTGGATTAATTGGTTTCAGTAACTATTTAAGAAAAAAGGAGCCCAAATTCTTGAGCAGCGTCTTAAATGTGATTATTTTCTTCTTTTTTTTTTTTTTTTTTTAAAGGGTTTTTTTTTTTTTTTACTGGAATTTTTTTGAACAATTTTCTTTCGTTTCACAGATTTTCCCTGCTTTTTAAAATTACAAATGCTGTCTGTTAAAATAAAGGAAAAGGTATTCATTTGCATGTTATCTCAATAAACCATATTCTTACACTTTATAGATCAAACGACTAATCGATTAATTAGTAAAATGATCAACAATAAAAATAGTCGTCAATGCGGCTCCATTTAATCTTTCCATTTTGATAATACTGGACCAAATTTTAGCTGATTTAATTTAGTAATTTTAGCAAAGTTGTGATAAAATACCGTGAACTGATCAGTGCAGCGTCTGAGAGCTCAGTGATGCTCTACGCTGACACAGTACTACAAGGTGTTATTACTGTACGATGCCACAGCGACGTGACATCATTTAATGTTGTTTTCCTCTTTAACCACTTCAGCAAGTGAACGATTCGGCTCCAGAGGTTCGTGACGCTGCCTTCGAGGCTCTGGGCACGGCCATGAAAGTGGTGGGAGAGAAAGCCGTGAACCCGTTTCTGGCCGACCTGGATAAACTCAAACTGGATAAGGTACGACTCGGTGGAGGGTAAACTCTGACCTGGAGGACGCTCCTGTCTTTATTATTATTGTTAACCGGCCCTTTGATTCACAACAGATTAAGGAGAGTGCTGATAAAGTGGAGCTACCAGGAGGGAGGAAGGGCGCCGGAGGAGGTGGAGGAGGTGGAGCAGCGGAAAAGAAACCTGCTGCTAAAGCTGCTCCTGCTGCTGAAGCTCCATCTAAATCCTCGGCTCCATCGAAGAAGACCACATCTGCTGCCAGCAAGGTGATTCTAGAGCAACCTATACACCGAAAGTTATTAAAAAGAGTAATACTCAGTCCTGGCTGTAGCTCAGTACCAGTAGTTTTGTTGGTTTATTAGTCGTACTGAAGCATTTTCTTCTCCACAGCAGTCAGCAGGTCCTCCTAAGAAAGGAAAGCCAGCGTCTGCAGCCGGAGGGAAAGCAAAGAAGGCCAACGACAGCAGAGAAGTCGCAGAGACCGAGCTGTCGGTACGTCTGAGTCCTCGTCTTCTGATGTTACTGAAAGCTCACAGTGCTGGAAAGCAGTATTTCTTTCAAAGACTGCACAGGTGCAACTTTAAATAAACAAGCCTGTCGTCTAACAGGATCACTTTGGAAATGCTGACATGTAGAAATGAGTATAATTTAGTTCTGAACCATTCAGTTCGGTTGCAACCTCCTCTGTTAGACGTTTTCGTAGCAAACAGTGACGAATCTTCATCTGAAACACCTTCCTAACTCAAAACATTCCCAACCAGCCCGTCCTCCGTCCCCTCCGGCCTTCATCTTCCCCCTCAGCTCAGCAGCAGTGTGCAGCATGACTGACCTCTGCTGGTGAAGACTGTGCACTACCACACCACATTAGTGGAGCATCTCTCAGCCTAAAAGAAAAAACTACCATCTCACCTCCAGAACCAATGCAGGAATGAAAAACTGTAGATTTTTTTGCAGCTCTTGAAATATGATTGATTCTCGTCCAGTGAAGCCACCTGTTGAGCTTTGTCTCCGGGGATTTTATAGACGTTACCACATTTTTTGACTTTGCAATAATGCGAAAATAAAAGGAACAACAACAACAGCAGATTAGAAGGATGCACTATGCAGCAAGATTATTGAGTTGAGACTAAAGTTAGAGTTTTCAGTGCCACAAAGGTCTTTTGACATACTGGATCGCCATGGTAACTGATGCTGCAAAGCTATCAGCTAATCCAGAGGAGGTTCTGTTCAGAGTTTGGGATTTAAATCAGCCGTAAGACATGTCTCCCTTTCACCAGTTCTTTTCGTGACTGAGGTTATATCTGCAAACCTAATGAAAATCCCACTATGTGAAGCCGTGCAGCTACAGTAATGCAAACTGTAAGTGTTGCGTTGCCACAGGAACCTGCATGCAAGCTGATGCAAGAAAAAAAAAAAGCATAAAAATGTTTTTCTGTTTGGTTCTGATTTGCTGCTGAGTCTTATCACAGAAAATATCCAACCCATAATATTAATTTCACTTTGATTTGGCCCAAAACTGAAGAGCTTTCTACACATCCTTCATTATAGGACAGTGTCTGACCTAAATGCACTTCTTTAATATTATATTTGAAGCAATGAAGTTTAAAGTTTACCAGCTCTAACGTGCACTTGTCAAATAAGCAGCTGCACTGAGAATCACTGAGCAGTAAAATAAATATATGTACTTAAACAATTAAGTTTTTTTTTCCAGCGTTCCTCCAGGAATTTTTATGTCCCTTGTAGCTCTACATTATAACAGCCTGCTCTTCTTGATCAAAGTATGCAGAACACTATTATTCCTTGTTTTGTTGAAAAAGAGTCGCATTGTGCACATTCCATCTAAATTCTATCAGATCCTGAAAAAGAAAACAAAAAAAAAGCTGATAACCTTCATCATGATACCCGCCGTTTCTGACGGGCTGCTTCTGTCTGCTCTTTACATCCTAACTATTCACAATATTGGTGAATTATTTCAGCATCATTTGAGCCCCTGCTGTTGTGTTGTTTGTGTTTTTATTTACATGTTTGTGTGTGTTGTTGTCGTTATGTCAGATCGAGGTGTGTGAAGACCTGGCTGCAGGTGTACTTCCTGCTGCTTGTCTGCAGCAGCTCGACTCGGCCAACTGGAAGGAGAGACTGGCCAGTATGGAGGAGTTCCAGAGGGTAAAGCGCTTTCAATACATTAAACTGCTTCAATTAGTTCACCTGCAGCAGTTCTCATAGGACATAAACCATCACTTCCTGCTGCACCTGAGCAGTTTTCATTCTTTTCTGACATTAATTATTAATGAAAACAATCAGTAGTCGCTGTCCCGCTTGATGCTGCAGTAAATTTTGAGTTTTAACTGTTGAAAGCTGCATGTTGAAGTCTGAATTTGTGGAAAACGACCATGTGTTGCCGCCTGTTCGACGGCGATGTGCAGGAATGTTAACATGTGGATTCATTTGTGCTTCCAGGCTGTTGAGACCATGGAAAAGACAGTGATGCCCTGCCAGGCTTTAGTCAGGATGCTGGCCAAGAAACCAGGCTGGAAGGAGACCAACTTCCAGGTAACTGTTTGTTTGTGCTACAGCAGCTAATATAATATCATTATTAGAACGCTGCATATGGGAAAATGCTTTACTTGTGTCCATATGTGCTTCACTTGTATATTAGTCCTTCCATCAGAGATGCAAAGAACTGAGGAAGCACAGTTTAGAGAAATGAGACTTTATGTCCTCTAAATGATTGTCCACCAGGATTTTTTGGGGGTCACTAAAACTTCTAATATCAAAGTGTAGTTTATATTTAACACTAAAAAAAATCAGCCTCGATTTTAATGAAGTTAATGAAGAGACAAACTGGTTTGTTTTTCTGTAACTGGACTACACAGAACACAGATTCACTATTTTCAGGTAGATGGTCAGCCAACTGTTGAATCACAAACAGATTTTCTTTTTTAAAAAACAACAAAAAACACGGTTTAACTTTCATTTAAACTCAAGAGTACATTGAAGTACGAGGGCCTTATTTACGGTAAAGCTGAATGACGAGAAGACGTCGGCAAATGAATAAGAAATTTGGAGAAGAATGATGATCGTAAAGGAAACCATTAGTAAAATAATAAAAGCATAAAGGACAATTCAAGCAGTTAAAAGCAAATAAATAAACTAAAACAAGAACAGCTGGAGGTAAATAAGATTAAAAACTTTAGTTACCTTGAGAATAAAAATGCGCCAAGCTTCTCTTCTGCATGTGTGCATTTGATGCCTCATGGATCTGTCATTGCTGCTCAATTCCTCAGAGCATAAATAAGTGTATCAGCCTTAATGATGGCAGTGTAGCAGGATTTCAACGTTGACTAAAGAGCAGTCAGTAAGGCGACCCAGCTGTAACGACGTGGCCTTTTCTCTGTGTGCAGGTGATGCAGATGAAGCTGCACGTCGTGGCTCTCATCGCTCAGAGGGGACAGTTTTCCAAGACGTCGGCCTCGTTGGTACTGGACGGGTTGGTGGATAAAGTCGGAGACGTCAAGTGTGGCGGCAACGCCAAAGAAGGACTGACCGCTATCGGAGAGGCCTGCTCACTGCCGTGGACCGCAGAACAGGTTCTGACTCGTGTCTCTGCATAGAATAGGATAGAAAACCACACTGAGGATGGACTGTGTACGATACTTACACAAGTTGTGCTCGTTTGTCAGGTTGTATCGATGGCATTTGCTCAGAAGAATCCCAAAAACCAGGCAGAGACGCTCAACTGGCTGGCTAATGCCATGAAGGAGTTCGGCTTCGCTGGGTAATATCCTGTCCTTGTTTTAACCGTCTGCATTTAAAATCATCTAACTGTGTTTGTAATAATGTAGTCAATTTTAAATCCTTAACTTTTCTGACTTTAAAAAACATGTTACTATTAATTTAATGCAGTTTATTGTCTACGTGGTGCACTCAGGGGATGAATAAAGTATCTATTTATTTAAAAATAAAAGGGGTGTTAGAAAATACTCTATTTAATTAAAAAAAACAACTGTTATAAGCTTCTAATTTCATAAATTTTTTGCTTGTATGCTGCAGTAATTTTGAGACTTGCACTCATGTTTGAGCAACTTGTGTACATGTGAACAAACTGGCCTCCACACACCAGGGGGCGCTGCTGCAGAGGACTTTATTGGGCATAAGACAACAAACTAATGTGTGCCAGAAAAAGATTTAGTGTGTCCCAGTACAAATGTAGTACGACAAAACTACCAGGGTATCCTACTCCATCTGGGTAGATTTGTTTTGCCGTTCTTACCCACAATCCTTTGCACATCCCATGTATCACGATGTCTCACATAAATGTAAACAAGCTTCTTCATTTTATAAAACTCAAATCACAGTTCAAGGGGCATTATTATAACAAGGTAGTAAATCCCAGTTGTATTCATACTATATGAAACGGTACATACTCAAAGTAAGAAGTATGTGATTTGGAACTGTGTGACGTCTCCAGGATCAACGTGAAGGGTTTCATCAACAACGTGAAGACGGCTCTGGGAGCGACGAACCCCGCCGTCCGGACGGCAGCCATCGCCCTGCTGGGAGTCATGTACCTCTACATGGGAGCTCCGCTGAGGATGTTCTTCGAGGACGAGAAGCCGGCGCTGCTCGCTCAGATAGACGCCGAGTTTGAGAAGGTACGGACTCCCGTAGACTCGTCCATCTTCTCACCACTGGGTCGTCTTAACGGGTTGGTGAAGTAAGAAATGTGTTCCTACAGATGCAGGGTCAGTCTCCACCCGCTCCAATGAGATGCACCAAGAAGTCTGCGACGGCAGCGGACGACGACGGCGATGACGGAGAGGAGCAGGATGAAGATGGAGGAGGAGGAGGAGGACAGGACATCATGGACCTGCTGCCCCGGACAGATATCGGGTAACTAAACACACACAGATCTAGAAAATCAGATTCCAGATCCTCAAGATGAACCCTTAATAGAGTTGTTTGCTCAGACACCACGTCGATCCTCGTCTGACTCTGATGTAGGATGCAAAAGAACCCTGAAAGTCTCGTCCAGAGGTTCCACTTTAGCGAATAGAAATGACTCCTCAGAAGCAAATAAAGAAATAAACCTTAATGACACAAACCTTCCCTAAACAAACAGATTAATAAAGCTAGAACAAGTAACTATGTGCTGCCATCAGAGACATCACAGCATAAAACTCACGATAAAAAAGAAATCTCTGACTAAAAAATTGATATCTTGAAATGCAGCAATAACGAAAATTTTGTTTTTGCCTGCATGAATATGAACGGGTGAGTGAATATAGAAGATAAACTTAAATTGCACCTCGTATGTAAGCATAAATACATCTTCTTCTGAATTCCAAGTTTGTTTTGAGGAATATGTAGCAGCAACACTGCAGAATCTGAAAAAAGGAAAAACTAGATCATGATAATGAGAAGAGGAAAGCTTCCGCAATATCCCAGCCATCTCCTGGTATCTTTGATCTTATCAAAATCAGCCTCAACAGATGGAGAGTTATTGATCCATTTCATATCTGTGCATCTCAAGATACGACGGCATTTGTTTAAGCTGCACCGTGTCACGGTGACCACTTTTGTCATTTATAAATAGCTGAGGCAGAAACTTGGTTGATCTGTTGCATTGACTCTATAAAATATCGTCTTTCGTCTCCTCTCCTAGTGACAAGATCACCTCGGACCTGGTGTCTAAAATCGGGGATAAGAACTGGAAGATCAGGAAGGAGGGGCTGGACGAAGTCGCCGCCATCATCTCGGAGGCTAAATTCGTCACGGCCAACATCGGAGAGCTTCCTCTGGCGCTGAAGGGACGACTCAACGACTCCAACAAGATCCTGGTGAGTCGTCCTGCTGCTGCTGTGTGGTCACACTGATAAAGTTTATGTTTAAAGAGCAACAAAATGCACTGATGTGGCAGAACGAAACGTGACGGATATCTTATAAAACACACAAAGTGATGACGATGTGGGAGGTTTTAAGAGCCGCTTTTCAAAAGAATAAGATGTAAAAACCTTTTATGTTTGTGGCCTCCAGGTGCAGCAGACTCTGACTATTCTGCAGCAACTGGCGACAGCGATGGGACCTGGACTAAAGCAGCACGTTAAATCTCTGGGAATCCCAGTTATCACTGTTCTGGGAGACAGCAAGGTACTCACAGCACCGCCGCCAACCCATACTTCTGTCAACACAAGTGTTTCTGTCCGTCTCTACACCACTCCTGTTACATTTCTTTGTTTGTTAGAGCACATTTTTACATGTTAAGTGCATTTCATGAAGTTACAGAAGCGTTTTTTGCTGGAAGAAATACGGAAATAAAATCCATCAGAACAAAATACACTGGAAATACCAGCAGAATAGAAACATTGGGTTTCTGTCTGTCTGCAGGTGAACGTGAGGACGGCAGCCATGACGACGCTGCAGGCCTGGGTGGAGCAGACCGGGATGAAGGACTGGCTGGAGGGAGAAGATCTGTCTGAGGAGCTGAAGAGGGAGAATCCGTTCCTGAGGCAGGAGGTGAAGATGAACTCTTTGCTGTCTGGTTTCAGGAGGAAAATTCAGTTTTCTTCTTTCTTCATGCGTTCGTGTTCCTGAGCCGAATCACAAAACGTCTTCTTGTCCAGGTTCTGGGCTGGTTGGCAGAGAAGCTGCCCACCCTGAGGACGGTCCCGGGGGATCTGATGCTGTGCATCCCTCAGCTCTACGCCTGCCTGGAGGACCGCAACGGAGACGTGAGGAAGAAGGCTCAGGACGCCCTGCCCACCTTCATGATGCACCTGGGCTACGACAAGATGAACAAGGCCACCGGCAAACTCAAAGTACTGATCACTAACAGAGCTTTTCACTGATTAACTCTCGGCAGACGGCAGCGATTCATGTCTTCTGTCCTCTCGTCTCCCTCCAGCCGGCCTCCAAGGATCAGGTGGTGGCCATGCTGGAAAAGGCCAGAGCCGTGATGCCAGCCAAACCTGCAGCTCCGGCCAAAGCAGGAGGGAAAGGATCCGCAGAGACGAGCAGAGCTGCTTCAGGTTTGTTGGCGTCACACTGAGTGTTTGACTCGTTGCAGCTGCAGTGCTTCATTTTGCTGTTCTGCTGCTTTTCTGTGAATGTGAAACGTCTGCAAACTTGAAAACCAAAGTCCTGCCAAAGGAAGTCATTCTCTCCCACAGAAAACACTGCTCCTTCCCTGCTGGACACTTTCCATTAGAACTCTTTGTCAAATGAGTTCATGTTTTATCAAATGCTCAGTAATAGAAGATGATCTGACCTGCATGTGTCCTCTGCAGCCTCCAGATCTCAGCCGGCCGGTGACGAGAGCGAGAGTAAACCAGAAGTGAAGAAGGTCCGAGGAGGAGTAGCTGCTAAGAAGGTACGTCTGTCTGCATCAGACTCTGTTGTTTATTGAGCATTAGGGTCGCTCCGAGTCATCATCAGTCACTGACGTTTCAAAAGAATGTGATGCTTTTTGTCCTCCCTTTTGTTTTAGTAGTTTTTTTTTTTGTTTTTTTTTAAATTGCCCCCTTCAGGGCCGATATTGAATATTTGTATACAAGGATGCTGATAAACGTTTTCAGCAAAAGTGAAAACTGGTGTTAGTTTATCGTCATTTTTTGTCACCACAAGTTGAATTTTCTGACCAACAGCAGAACAGAATATCACATCAATTGTCGACATCCAAAATCTGTATTTGTACAAATAGTCATTTGTTCTATTGCAACACGTCGCTGTAAAAATTCCACAGTTTTACTGTATTTAAATTAGCTTAAAGTATCTTTATTTTACAAGCATTTGCTGTTATTGTCACCGTTCTTAGTTTTTGAACGTTACCGTATTCTACCAGATTTTTTGTGGGGGTTTTTTTTGTTTTTTGTTTTATTTAAATACACTCACTCCCCATAAATCTGGTCCTTTTCAGTTAGAATTATCTGAGTCCCATCAGTCATCGTCGATGTTTCTAAGCATCGTTTTTCAGCGGGCAGCTTAAGAAACAGATTATTATTAAAGGTTTTTCTTGTTTTTGCTGCTAAATATTGCTTTTTTGTCAGGATTTTTTACTGGATTTCTCTCTGCTCTCGTTTAATAACGAATGTAGAGAGACTATATTCAGTTTTGTGTGTAAATCCAGTCAGACTTCACAGATTCTGAGGTTTTAGATGCCTAAATAGAAGCTGGACAGTCATTATCTTTATGTTCACCATTTGTCCTGTTAGCGTACGTGTCACATTGTTTTCTGTTTTGTCCACCCTTTTAGTCCTTTGTGTCATATCCATGAAGTGTAAACGTGGTTTCTTTACTCACCCAGCCTCCCTCCCCTCCCGAGGAACCCGTCCCTCCCCCTTCCTCCAAGGACAAGGACTGTAATGGTAGCAAAAAGCCGCCCGGCAAAGGGAAGGCTGCTGCCGGCGGTCAACAGGTAGATGTGAGATTCAGCCCGGCAGGTCGTCAGACACGAGCTGGGCTGAGTTTCTCTGCAGACGCCCGTCAGCTCGACAGATGTTAACCGCTGTCCGGCTTCTCTCGGCCGCTTGGTGTCGGCTCAGTCTAATTCTGTCTCTCTCTAATCACTAATGCCGCCGCTGAGTGTGTGTGTGTGTATATGTACAGCTGTTAATGCACGCAGCTGTCAAATGAAACAAATCAAAGCAAAAAAACACACACGCTCACAGAAACTGGGATCACGTGAAGGTTTCAGGTCTCCACTGCATGATGTTTGTTAACTTCTCCTTTTACCTGCTGCTTCCACCGTCTGTCACTTACGAGAACCTCTTCTGTCCGATTCACATTTTTGGGTCATTCCATCTCAAATCATCAAATTATTCTGCTTGAACCATCTCTGACTTTCCCGAAGTTACTGGAGCATAATACCTGGCTATTTATAAAGATAAATGTCCAATTTTAACTTGTATATCAAGTACTTTCCAGGATAAATTTCTTTTAAAAAATTTTCCTCTGGATCAACTTTCAGCACTTTTTTTCTCCCCATAAATTTAAGGCTGTTTGAGCGAAAATATCTTAGGAACTGTTAACAATAAAAAGCCTGAATTTTTCACTATTATTTCTCATCACGGTGTTTATTCAGGATCTGTAATATTAGACAAGTAGATCAAATAATATCTGATTTAAGGGTGAGTTGAGAAATGAAAAGAAATTGAAGAAATCAACCACAAAAAAATGATAATGCAGAAGTCGACCAGTGATATTTACTGACATCAAAATACTAAACAAACAGAACAATTTTAATCTGGAATATTTGGTCACAGAAATGAGGATAAAGGGATTTTTTTGTTTGTTTTTTTGTAGTAGTTTAACAACCGATTGAGCAGATATGGCAAAAATATTGCTCGATAAACAGATTCAAGTTTCAGATAGCATTTTAAATACACATATTTCATGATTTTTCAAAATCTTAAGTAAGTCAGAGATGGTAAAAGGCCCCAGCTGGTTTTAGATGGAATAACTCATTTAAAACCTGCTAAATCTAAAAAAAACTTGATCTCACCTCCACAGACAGCCCACCTGTTTACTCACTGTCATGTCGCCTGTTTATCTCAGGGCCCAGCCGGTAAGAAACCTGCAGCCAAAGGCGTGAAGGATGATGAAGACAGATCTGGGCCCATCTTCATCCTCGTCCCCAACGCCAAGGAACAGAGGATCAAGGAGGAGAAGCAGCTCAAGGTATGTGAGAAGCTAGAAGAAAAAAAAAAAAGCTCGTCTGGATGTTTTTATGATGCTGAACTTTTTATGATGCATTCTACAAAGTCCAGGATTGAAAACTCTAAAATTACAAACCGTAAAATACCATTAAGGATCCAGATGCTGGTGTTTAGCTAACCTATATAAATCAAGACGCATATAAAAACACTATCAGGTTTGACTTCATGGGGACTTCTTAAGTGTTTTAAAACCTTCTGAGTTAAATACTTTCGGTCTTAAATATTGTCGTGATGTTGTTTGTCTGGTCATCAGTCTAAAACTTGGGATCATATTTGACAAAAATCTTCACATTTTGTTGCAAAAATCAATTTTTTGATCTGTTTGCGTCAGAAAACAATCTGTGGGAAGACAACCATCTTTTAAAAAAAAAAAAAATAATTCTATAAAGATTTAAGGATGAAGATTAAATAAATTTACTAAACACAGCCTGGGCTTGTAATAGTCATCCAGAGCTTCCAGATGTCCCACAATGTGATTCTGTTTTACTTATAAATTAACTTATTTGCTTGTCATTTATCGTGTAAAACGTACTGTTGTGTGCGGTTGACATGAGACTGTTTGTGTTTCAGATCCTTAAGTGGAACTTCATCACTCCGCGGGACGAATACGTGGAGCAGCTGAAGACTCAGATGTTGACCTGCTTTGCGAAGTGGCTGCAGGACGAACTGTTTCACTTCGACTTCCAGAGACACGTGAAGGCCATCGGAGTCATGATCGAGGTTTGTTCTCGAGTCTCTGCGGCGGTGAAGGTTTGTTTGTTTGTGTCGGCAGTAGACTGGTTTCAGTAATAACGTGTGTCCCACAGAGGTTGGAGAGCGAGAGCGACGCCACCATCAGCTGCCTGGACCTGATCCTGAAGTGGTTCACGCTGCGCTTCTTCGACACCAACACCACGGTGCTGATGAAGGTTCTGGAGTATCTGAAGCTGCTGTTCGCCATGTTGAACCGGGAGAACTACCACCTGACGGAGTACGAGGCCAACTCCTTCGTCCCGTACCTCATCCTGAAGGTGAGCTCGCTCTGAAGGATCAAACGAGTCACTGTACACCTTTCCTTTTTTTCTTTTTTGTGCTCAGTTTTTATTTCTCCTTCCTTCGTAGGTCGGAGAGTCAAAGGATGTCGTTCGCAAAGACGTCCGAGCCATCCTGGGCATGTTGTGTAAAGTTTACCCAGCGTCCAAGGTCTTCCCTTTCCTCATGGAGGGAACCAAGTCCAAGAACTCCAAACAGAGAGCTGGTAGGTTTCTACAGACAAGGGATGAGAAGTAACTCTGTTTTTTTTTTTCCATCTTAAATCTTCAAATTTCTTTCTTTGTGGTACAACTTGTCACACCTGCTCAGTCAGTGGTGAAAATCCAACAAAAATAACTTCATTCATGTCATACTAACAGTATTTAAAATGTTTTGTTTTGTATGATTGTAACATGCAGCTACTTATGATTCAGAAAACATCACAAGTTGACTTCTGCTTTATTTATTTATTTTTGTTAATGTGATCTCAAAGATGACGCTTTTTATGTCAGCTTACTCTTTTCTTTTTCGTATTTCAACTTACCCATAATCTATTTAATCTACTTGTCCAATATTATAAAATCTGAATCATGACATGATGAGAAATAATACTAAACATTTCAAGCTTTTATTTTTATTAGTTCCTGAGATATTTTAGTTCAAAACAGCCTCAAATTTCAATTTGCAAAAAAAAAGTTTATGGGTGATAAATGGTGTAATTTTGGGGTTTTCTTTATTAAAACAACAACAACAAAAAAACAAAACGTATCTTTCAAACCTTCAAACATTTATTCATAGTTCTAATTTGTATATATTTTTATTTTGACTCGTTTTCATCATGAAAAATGAGTCAACAGATATATTTCATCATAGTTTGCGTTGTTCTGAGATTGTTTGAAGCCACTTGCTAAATGAGCTGTTTTGAAAAACGTGTTCAGAAATTTAACAGTTTTTATTGCAAGACTTTAAGAAAACCTTTAACTTCTTAGATAGAATGGAATAAAACTAGAACCTAAGTCACGATAACAATCCTAGTGTCTGTTGGAGGAGAACTCTTCTGACGGTGTGGTCTCCGTTTTCCTCAGAGTGTCTGGAGGAGTTGGGTTGTTTGATAGAAGGCTACGGGATGAACGTTTGCCAACCGACTCCGGCTAAATCCCTGAAGGAAATCGCCGTCCACATCGGCGACAGAGACACGTCTGTCCGCAACGCCGCCCTCAACACCGTGGTGGCCGTTTATAACGTGTGTGGAGATCAAGTCTACAAACTCATAGGAAACGTACGTATACGTGGCCCCGACACTCGAACATCGCACTCGAACACCCGCTCCGCTCGCTCTGACGCTCGTCTTTCCTCTGCAGCTGTCTGAGAAGGACATGAGCATGCTGGAGGAGAGGATCAAGCGTTCGGCCAAGAAGACTCCGGCCGCCCCGGCCAAGCAGAGCGCCGCCGAGAGGCCTCAGAGGGAACATCCGACGAACCCCAACGCCACCTTCCTCCGCAAGCCTGCACAGGAAGATCCCAACAAGCTCAAGTAGGTCCCATCTAACCGTATCTGGGTGGAAAACCAGCAAAGCTCCACATGATGTGTATAAATAGTACCCACTGCATGAGCAATACGTTCATCTCTGGAGAGTGTCAGTGAAATTACAGCAGGTAAACTCAAACTTTAGCAACAGATTTTACAAAAACATGATGCACACCAACTAAAAATGTTTGTATAGATGTTGCTTTAAAGAGATAAAATAATGATTCAGTGACTGTGGCTTTCTAAACAGCCCTCTACAGGTTACAGTGCCTTTTATTGTGTGAAAATATTCACATTTTTCAGGATTATTTTACAATAACAGGTAGAGCTGCAACAGTTAATCCATTAGTTGTCAACTGTTAAATTAATTGGCAGCTATTTTGATAGTTTATTAATCAGTTTGAGTAACTATTTAAGAAAAAAAACTGTCCAAATTCTGGTTTCTTTCCTCCTCTATCACAGTAAACTGATTATCTTTTGGATTGTGGACAAAACACATTTGACTTTTAGTAACACCGATTGATAATTTCCACCATTTTCTGACAATTTACAGACCCAACAACTAATATATTAATCTAGAAAATGACCAACAGATAAATCAACAATGAAAACAATCATTTTGAAAAGTTCTTACCCTAATAATAGGTCACAGTAGTCATTTTTGTGCACTTTAGACACTGATAATCTTTATTTTTGAAGCATTTTTTAAAGCAGGCAAGTCATAAAATTCTCGCAATTTGAAGGTGTATTTAAAAACAAACCAATGCAGTTTTGGAAAAGGTAGCACTTTTTTAAATAAATGACATCTTAAATGAAATTAAAACTCAGAAAAGGGTTAAGAAGAGACTGATCAATACATAAAATAAGTTAAAGGAATGCAGTTTGTCACCTCTGGAGCTGCTTGAGCTACAATCACATAAATCCTGTCACAGTTTAATGTTTTAATGCTGAATATTTACCTCCTCTTTGCCAACGTAGCACTCGACATAAAATCAACACTGATGTTTTATTGATTGAGTTTCATCGTAAGACGGTCTTAAGGGAGATCAAGCAGCCTGCATGCAAAGCCTTTCTCATCATCTAACTAATAACAACAAACAAGGGTGAAGGGTGTAAAGCAGACATTAGATTTTACAAACCAGGGGTGTAATGGCACATGTTTAGCACAAGGTGTTTGTTTCAGCACTTTCTGTGATTTAAACTGTCAGAAGTGTCTTTAGACCTCCTGGAACAGAAACTCTGGCTCTTCTAGTTCCACCTGGACTGATTTATCAGAGGCCTGTTGTCGTCTGTCAGTGTTAGCATGCTAACAGTGTTAGCATTTAGAGCTGCAGACATGTTATGAATCTTGTACGATGTGTAACTCAGAATACATGTAGGTAGGTAAGTTAAATAAATGTGTTCTAGTTTTGAATGATTTTCAGAACAGAAATCTAAACATTGGGGAAAGACTTCAGAATACAGACAGGAAACTGGATCATTAAGAAGTTATTGTAAGTTTTCCTGAAGTGGAAATGATTCATCTTGTAAATTACATACATTTTTATTGAAAACCTCAGTTTCCACTAATAGCAGTCACCATGAAACTTCCCCGGTTGATTACTTACATCCATTTTTTTGGATTTGCAAGTTTTCTTAAATGTTATGCCTAAATGTGCAAATTGTGTATTATCTAAATAAATAGGTGTTAGTTTACATAAATGCTTCACAGATAATGTAGTAAAATAAACCCTTACGTGTGTTTTTTAGATGTTTTCATTCAACTTGTCTTAAAAACATTTTATAGAAGCAAAATAACCCAAAATCACAAAATTGAATAGTGCGTTTAGATAATAAATAAAACTTTAGTCTGTCTTCCTGCTGCCAAAACCTGCAGCTCCTCTGCTCACACTAAACAAAATACAGAATGCAGTTCAATAAAGGTTATTCAAACAAAATTGCAGTGCATTATTGATGGTATTGCAGCTGTTAATGGAGTTTTTACTTATTTTCTACCTGAGAATTTGCAGCATTTCAGTGTCTTAACGGTTAAAGGAAGAATTTTGGGCAATAAACCTCAAAATAAATGACAAAAAATATGTGCATTTCTTTTGTTTGTACTAATAAAAGTACCAGATCGTGACTTTTATATGCCGTTACACCCCAAAAATGAATATTAGTAAATAGTAAACTAATCAGTTTCAAACGTCAGGTGTGAGATGTTGTGAACGCATTAAACCCCGACTTTTCCAGCTGTTCGTCATGAGCATGTCAGTCATTCTGCCTCCTCTTTTTATCTGTCAGATCCACCGTGCTGTGATTAGTTAGATTCATACTTCTGTCTCTACTAATCTGTCCTTCTCTCGTCGTTCCTGTTTTGACCGAATCTTTGCATGTCGGGTTGATCTCGCGGCGTCTCGACCCGTGAAACCAACCCGTGTTCGGCCGTCTGTCCGTCTCTTAACCCTTCATCTTTCTTCCTGTGTGATTTCCTCCTTCTTTCTCTGCTCTGCCTGCCTTCCTTTCCGGAGCAGAATAATGTATCGCACGTATAGGATGTGAGTACCAACTCCTCCTCCTCCTCCTCCTCCCTCATCTTCCTCCTCGTCCTCTTTCCTACGTGTTGTCATTGTCTTCTCTGAATGCCTTCTAACACTTCATGAGGCTAGGAATGAATGCAGTGGCATTTGAGTTTTAGTCGTGCTTGGTCACGGGATGGTAGGTAAAGCACCAGACTAATGTTCAAAATGTCACCTTTCAAACATTCCCGTCATCCCTCCGTCTCACCTGTGTCTGATCTGAACACCTGAGAATGAGATGAACGGTCCTCTGCTTGGTCTGCCAGCTGTAAATACACAGCATCATCTAATTTAGCATTAATTCAACCAAATACTATCAGACATCCAAGTACGCAGACCTTATGTTTGGAATTCTCGTTGAAACCGAATGCAAAAATGTCACCGCTGAACCATAGACAGAGTAGATGGTCTCCTTTGATGCCAGATAGTTACTTTTATCCTTAATTGTGAGGTAAAAAATTGATTTATTCATAGTTTTTCAGTTAGTTGGGGAGACAAAGAGGCAAAAATACTGCACCAGGTGAATTTAAATTGGTAGTTTTGCTGCAAATCAGAAGTTGCAGCAGAATTAATTAAGCTAGGCTACTCAATTGCCACAATTCTGCCCCTTTCAGACCTGCTTTCTGGATTAAATGCACTGCTGCGCGGCTAACTAGCTCCTCAGCTGCAGCACGTTAAACAGCATGTAGCTGCTAACGTGGCTTCAGATGCTCCTCAGCGCTAACAACATGCTCTCCAACGCACATCGCTACGGCACAAGTTTGTTCACTGTGTTGGATGTGATGTTTGTAACGTAACTTCACTGTGTTTTAGCACCACTAGGAGTATTTTAGGGAAGTTTGATTCATGTTTGTGTTGTTTCTCTGTAAAGTTTTTGACGCTATGTCACAGTTTTAATGATGTGTCGGTCTCTTGAAGCTGATCTAAAAGATTGTCACGACTTGATGATGTCGAAATTACATCAAATGTCCTTGTTTTCATTTCAAAAGTCCACAAAACATGTAATTTGCACCAAACTGCTTCAGTTTATTCGGGTTCTGCTGCAATAATGAGTCATTTGACTTTCATCAAGCTAAACTCTGCAGATTAACTGAGTAGATATTCGTCATGAACAATGTAGGGTTTTGTGTTTTTGTTCCACTCGTCCTTGCAGATTCTTTCCCTCCTTTTCCAGAGGATACGAACGCCTCGTGTTGTTTTCAGATCAGGGCTGATCAGCTGCAGTTCGGACGGTCCAACTGAGATTTGGTCCATCAGGTTATTGACACACTTGAGATCCTCGTTAGTAAATGTTTGGTAGTTTTAAACTCATTAGAGTTTGATAATGAGATTTTTTTAAAATCCAAAAAGCATAAATTACACTTGAAATGATGATTGAAGTCAGATGCTTTATTCTCCTTATTATTGACGCACACATTAGCCGGAGGATCATCACTTACACACATTATCGATTCCCAAACTAATAGCTTAAAGCTCATGTCAGTCGGGACTGCAGCTGAGCGGCGCTGATCGATAGCACACCGGACTAAATGTACTTGTCCACTCTGTCTCCAGCCAAGCCCGGCAGAACGCTCAGCACAGCGAGTCCTCCCACCCGTCCATCCCCAAGGAGTTCCAGTTGGACCTGGACATGATCGAGATGGACCAGAGCCGAGTGTGCGAGCTGCCCGACCTCGTTCAGCACAAACTGGATGAGCTGCTGGAGCCCATCATGATCCCCGAGCCCAAGTAAAGGCCCTCAGACAGACTCAAAGAAAGTAAAGGAACAGAAATTAACGTCTGCTGTGATTAATATGTGGTTTTGTGTTTGAAGGATGCGCGCCGTCTCTCCGCACTTCGACGACCTCCACAACAGCACGGCGTCCACCATCAACTTCGTCATCTCTCAGGTGGCGAGTGGCGACATCAACACCAGCATACAGGCGCTGGCACAGGTACAGTACCCAGTGTTGAAGTACAAAATATTACAGTACCCAGTGTCGAGGTACCCAGCGTCACAGTACGCAGCGTTGCAGTACAAAATATTACAGTACACAGCGTTACAGCGCAGCAGGAGCGTTCGTGTGGATTCGTGTTTCTGAACACACATGCTGCAGCTGACTTGGTAAACACAAACTCATGCTTTGGCGTCCACGTGCGCATATCTGGCAATATAAACGGACACATTTCCCCTCATGTTGAACACAGAAAAGGACACAAATTTTTACACGATATAGCAGTGACGTTTATCCCTATGGTGTGTGGAGCACAACGGGCCCACATAACACAGGATATCTGGAGAACTTAGAACCTCCCACTGTGTTTGGACTCCATCGATGGAAAGCATGTACGAATCACTGCTCATCCAAAATCCTGCAGTGACCACATGATGTTTTTTACATGAAGTAGCAGGGGCTCAGAGATTGGGCTGTGATAATGTGTCAGTGACGGGATATCAACAATTATAACAACAATTTCCCTGAGGTTCTCCCAAAGGGATCAATAAAGTTCTATCTATCCATCTAGAACTTTTCAGTGTGTTTGGGCTCCGTCAATAAAAAGCATCTACAAATCAAAGCACCTTTCGCAGCTACTTCAGTTACAAACATCACCACCAGCAAACAGGTGCTAGTGCAGTCAACAGCATCATGGTGCAGCAGGAGCATTCATCGTCTGCAAACGAGCTGTAAAAAGAGCTTATAAATACCATGTAGTGTTACTGCTGTTCTCTGAGCAAAATCTGGCAAAAGAATTTCCTTTGAGATAAACTGATTTCTTATCTGTTAATGTAGCTGTAGTTGGTTTCCCTCCATGTACAGTTTTTGACTGTTTTAGTTAACGCCGCTGTGATTTGTCCTTCACAGATTGACGAGGTGCTTCGGCAGGAGGACAAAGCTGAAGTCATGTCGGGACACATCGACCAGTTCCTCATCGCCACCATCATGCAGCTGAGACTCACCTACAGCACTCACATGGCCGACGACCGGCTGGACAAGAAGGACATCATCAAACTGTACAGCTGCATCATAGGAAACATGCTGTCTGTGAGTCGCTGCTCAGATTGTAACGAGAAACAACCGGTTGGTTTAAGGGTGAAGAGACGCTTAACGAGCCTCGTCTCGTTCTTTTCCAGCTCTTCTCTATGGAGTCTCTGGCCAGAGAGGCTTCGATGGGCGTCCTGAAGGACCTGATGCACGGCCTGATAACGCTGATGCTGGACGGCAGAATGGAGGACATAGAAGACGGGACGCAGGTCATCAGGTCCGTCAACCTGCTGGTGATCAGAGTCCTGGAAAACTCGGACCAGACCAACATGATCAGGTCAGTCCACGTTCACCGCAAACTGATTTTTAAAAAGTCCAGCGGTTAAATCAGCTTTCAGTCAAAGTGTATATCGTTAATGTAGCGTTTGTTATTGAATTATTGAATTTCCCCTCTGGGATAAATAAAGTATTTTTAATTTCATTTCATTGATTTAACACTATGATTTTTTTTTTTAAACAATGGTTAAAAATACACATTTTTCACAGCAAGAAACTGGGAATAGTCAGAGCTTTCAGTTTCATCAGAACAACCCAGGCTTATAATCAACATATTTCATTAAAATGACATTATTCTAGCAGTAGTAGCTGCATGTCATTTGAGCTTCAGTCATCAGTGGCATCTTCCTGACACCTTCACACGACTCTAATGTCTAACTTTAGATCATTCACTGGTCGGTCATACAGTGCAGATGTGTTATTTTTTATTGTTTAATTAAGAAACTTTATGTTGAGTTGCACAGTTTCCCTGAAGGAGCCCATATCACAGTTTCTTAAAGCTGATTTAAAGGATTGTCGCTGCTTGATGTTGTTAAATGACATGTTCTGTATTTTGCACAATGAGTCCTGAACTCATGCCGTTTACTCGGGTTGTGATGCAAAAAAGGTCACAAAAAATTGAGTTTAATTGAGTAATTATTCATTAATAATGTGCTAAACAAATGAGGTGTTGTGTTTTTTTTTAATTCCACTCAAACTGCCGTTCACTGATCAGTCGTACGGTGCAGATGTGGTCATTTTTGTTGTATTTTCTATTTGTGCGACTTATTCTGTCTTAGCTGTAACAGTGTTTTCTACTTTATTTCCACTACGGAGACACAGACATCTCTTTTAAGTTCCATTTTTTAACCTGTTTATTTACCCTCTTGCCTCCTGAATCTCTGCAGCGCTCTGCTGGTGTTACTTCAGGACACTCTGGTCTCCACGGCCGGCTCTCCGATGGTCTCCGAGCTGGTCATGAAGGTAAATGGACCCGACACCCGCTGCTAAATCTGTCATTGTAGAACCCGATGGTTGTGTTTGTAACCCGCTCTGTCTGTGTGCGTTCAGTGTCTGTGGAGGATGATCCGCTTCCTCCCAGAAACCATCAACAACATCAACCTGGACCGGATCCTGCTGGACGTCCACAACTTCATGAAGGTTTTCCCCAAAGAGAAGCTCAAGCAGCTGAAGAGCGACGTCCCCCACAGGACCCTGAAGACCCTGCTACATACACTGTGCAAACTGACCGGGGCCAAGGTGACGCACAGTTAAACCCTCAGGAGATCTGCAGGCCTTAATATTGTCCCCCGAGTCAGCAAATTAAAGAAAGTCCCCACAATGTGTCTTTACTTTAGATGGTTCATTTCACTATAGCTGTACACCAGCTGGTTTTAGCGCTGTGCTAAATGGGCCCAATGAGCTGCTGCTAATCACGTTTCCTTCAGGAAGAAAACTCTCTCTGTGTCTGTGCTTGACAACGCAGAGCAAAATAGTAGAACACACAGCTCCTGACACTGAGAGACTTTCTGAGGGATCATTTTGGCATATAAACATCTCTGAATTCACAGAACAGTTGTTTTTAGCTCATGTTTGTTATAAATGCAGAAGTTTTCTGTTGCTGAGTAGCAGCTCGGAAATGGCTCCTTAGTGACTGCTAGTTAACTTGTAGTCTTAATTAACTGCAGATTAGTCAGTTTCATACTCATTCTGTTTTCTGACAACAGAAATGAGGACAGATTTATTGTGGATTTAACCGTATTAAAATGCCGTTTACATGAGCACAGAGAGCAGGAGAGAAGCTAAACAGAGGTCGAGTTTAGGTTGAACTGAGGCTCAAAAGGCAGCATGAGAACACAATAACACACCCAGTCCTTGTTTATTGGTTTAAATTAAAGTTTCCACAGAGCTCCGACCTGTTGGTATACCATCAATGCTCACGTTAGCAACAGTAGCCACACAGCATACTAACAATAAACATTTTCCTGTTGTGGTAACAACATACAAGTAATCCGCTAAGTGTTCAGCTCCTCAGATGCTAGCAGTGCATGAAGACTCTTGTGTTCACTCTTGCAGCTGAACATTTGGTGAACTTTGAGGCATTTTAGAGTTTAGCAGAAGCAGAAAGTTTAGAAAGTAAATCAACCTGGTGGACTGTGAGGCAGCTGCTCATTCTGAATGAAAACAGTAAAGGGGGCGGAGCTACAAAAAGTTTGAGCTGGAAGACGATTGGTTGGGTAGTTCAAATCAAGTTTATTGTCATGTTGCTGTACGTACACAGCAGTACAAACAAGATGAGAGAGCGTTTCTTCAGGATCCAATAACTTAAAGCAATTTAAATAAAGAAGTGTTTGCATATCTGGATCAACAGTTCATCATTCTGACAGCTTGTGGAAGGAAGCCGTTGATCATTCTGGAGGTTCTTCCTTTAATGCTCCGGAAACGTTTGTGAAATGTTCTGAGGTCAGATTATACGTGGCTTGTAAAGCTGGACGTCTGTAGTTGAGGGAGCTTGAGGGATGAAACAACTAAACGTCTTCATATCTTAACAGCTTTTAGTTCACAACAACAGAACAAATGGATTTTTACTACATGAGACCTTTGAAGGCTTAAAGTTCTGTTTCCTCGTCAAAATGCTTAAAGTTGAATTTCTACAGACCTAAACATTGTTTTCTTGTCTGACAATAGCTTTAGCAGCTCGTTAAGGTTGAATGAGTGCTGCTTATTGACTGTATTAATGTGTTGATGAACAGATACTGGATCACCTGTCGATGATCGAGAATCGCAACGAGTCTGAGCTGGAGGCCCATCTGAGGCGGGTGGTCAAACACTCGGGAAACCTGTCGGGACTCAAGAGCGACCGAGGAAACGAGAAGGGCGGACTGCGCATGGTGAGAGACGCACAACAAATACACAACTAATACACGACAAAACCGCACACTTCAGTGGTCATTTTATTACAAAAGAAGACTGAACTCATGTCTAGGATTTAAAACCAGAAGTTGGATTTTCTGCTCATGTTTCTGACGTTATTTGTTTGGTCTTTAGGTAAAATGTTGCAGAAACTTTGCCTACAGAAAATATTCTTACAGGAGAATTAACACAACCTGAGTCGATCTTGTCTTTAGGGCGACTGTATCAGAGTTAAATTTGCTGTTTAACTGAGATGTTTTGTGTTTTGCGGCAGGATGATCGAATGTCGAAGGCAAAGGTCAGCGACATCCTGTCTGAGATCTTCAAGAAGATCGGCTCCAAGGAGAACACTAAAGAGGTCTGTCAGCTCCACTGCCTTATGTAGCTCCTTAAAATGTTGATTTCCAGTTTTATTGTAACCGAAAGCCTTGAAAGCATGACGTGAAGTTCCCGTCTCTCCCTCCTCAGGGTCTGACGGAGCTGTACGAGTACAAACAGAAATACTCGGACGCCGACTTGGAGCCGTTCCTCAAAAACACGTCGCAGTTCTTCCAGAGCTACGTGGAGCGAGGCCTTCGCATGATCGAGTCCGAGAGGGAGGGAAAGGCTCGCATCCAGACCTCAGCAGGTACGACAGGAAGCTGCCGGACTGAGATTGAGTGACGTAGAACCGTGTTTGAGTGTGGAAGAGAGGCCTAAATGTAGAGAAAAATGTCTGTCAAGGCCTCAGTCAGGGTTGTGTAGTAACACCGCTGTGTGTGCGTCTGCAGTGATTCCTCAACACGGCGTCGACTCCAGTCAGAGCGGCAACAACGAGGAGCTGAAACCAGCCGTCTACTACGAGAGACTGAAGATCCTGAGACAGAGACAAGGACTAGAAAACACCTCCAGGGTTTGTTTACACACACAAACTGTTGAAATGTGACCGAGAGCAAGTGTTTAGACAGTTTCACACGTTTATTTTTTGTGCTCCCAGTGGCAGGCAGCACCTTGCATGGCAGCTCTGTCGCCACCGGTGTATGAATGTGATCTACTCTCTCTTGCATAAAAGCGTCTGCTGAATGAAACTGTAAACTGTAATGTACTTAAAGGGATGTTTGGTGTTTAGCAGCAGCTAACGTCCGTCTCTTCTTCCGCCTCCGTCCACCAGCAGCAGGGAGTTGGGGGAAGCGACGACGAGCCTCAGCAGCGGCCGGCCATCTCCTCCCTGCTGTCGTCGAAGCCTTCGGTGGCGTCGTCCACCGACATGCTGCACAGCAAGCTGTCGCAGC